CCCTAAATCTCGTCAGCGACAATAGGCGAGAGCGGTCCATGAGGGTCTATTCTTATATTGTGTCTATGGTCACCAGGACCTTATAAAAACCAGCCACTGTGGATCGAGGACCAGTGGTGAGTGTCGTCAGAATCAGGCCTGCAACGGGGGTTTGAATGACTATAATGCCGGCTTTTATTTGTTTTATTTTATGGTGGGCCCACTAATTAAAAACTGTCATTTATTTTAAATGTATTTTGTTCAGACTAAAGGACTCTTATGTGTTCGGGACTGTTCAGAATAAGTCAGTGTAGAACTCTATAAGCGTTTGAAAGACAGGGAAAGTCCCCATTTCTGAACCAGGTATTTGTCAAAGCCTGTTGTATTTTTATTTGTATTTTCCTGGTTAGTAGGAGGTTAAAGAACAAACAGTTTAGGCTCTATTCATTCAGGCAGACATAAGGTCTGCTGGTGACCATATTCAGTATGTTTTCACATCTGGTCTACTTTAATTTGCATTCTGAAGTTTGGTAAATAAAAGCTTTGCCTTTATAAAGTCTCCTTATTCATGGGTCAGACATCTGCAGTTAACTAAGTTGAATGCTTTATAACAGTGGTTCATGGGAAATGTAGTGAAACCAGTTTCTTGGGGTGTAACCGTAAATAGAACCCAGATCTAGCCTTAGACACCAGAAAGCGCTACATCTGAAAATCGTTTCAGAGCTTTAATATTCTGTCCCTTAGTGGTCTCTGCACGGCCCTGGTCTTCGTATTTGCGCAGCAGCAGCTTGTTCTGCGTCCCACCGCCGTGAAACGACGCAGCCGACAGAAATACGGAGACTTGTTGAGGACAGCTGTTGCCATGGAAACATATTTTATTCCTAAATGATTCAGTTTCCACCTGTTAAAGTCTCTCCGCCTCTTGCAGCGCTAGGATAGCTTAAAGTTTCACATCCTGCGCGGCGTTACGCTGCTTTTAGCAGTGCTGCCTTCAATGAGTGTGGGAAATTTCGGTATCAAAGAGCCATGAAGAGCCGCAGGTTTGCCACCCTTGGACTAGACCCCTGCTTAAGTCCAACCCCCGCTGCCAGTCAGGACACATAGAGGCGGTTGTGACGGACATCTGGGTGTCCACCTGACTGGTCAGCAACATTTGACCTTCAACAAGGGACAGAGCGGTCTACACCGAGAGGATTTGAGTTTTCTGTTTATAGGTGTGTCTTGTTCCATGACTACCCTCCCTGTGTATTTAGGTCCACCTGTTGTCTTTGTGTAGCTGTCCGTCTGCAGCCTGGCCCGCTGGTTCCCTGTGCTGCCTGTGAATTCTGGATTTTGTTTTCCTGCCTCCATTATGACGTCACCCTGGGCCTGTTGCGTTTATTCCTCACCACCTCAACTGCTCAACTTCATGACATGCTTTCTTTGCCAGCTCACAGTGTGCTGTGAGTCGGTCTACATGCTGTAAAGTCAGGTCTGTGCTGAAAGTGATGAGTTCTGTTGTCTGCTTGGGTGGCAGAAGCGACTGGACAGCAGGGCCGATTCGGTCATCGGAGTCTGGACCCGGAATGAGCGTCCCACCCTGGAGCCGCCCGCCCTTCACTCAGCGTCTGGCTGATCGCACTGGATTTCACATCTGGTCATTTCTAACATATTTAGTTTTTATTTTATGTGTATTTTTATTATGTTTCAGCTTCTGGACAAACTAATTTCCTTGCTAGGATCAAAAAAGTATCTTGAACAGAAATACGGAGTTCGTCACCTGCTCCAGTGCTGGGAACTCAGGCGGCGCTCCATGAAGGAAGAAGCGGCTCAGAGCGCTCCGACCCAGCTGGTACTCCTCCATCCCCAGACGCAGGTTCTGGAGGAGCTCCTGCTTGTCCCCGCTCAGGTCCCCCATCAGGCCCAGTGCTTCCTCCAGGACCTCCAGGGGCTCCCGGGACTCCTGGAGCCCCTTCAGCCAGCAGAGCAGCCCCTCCAGGCGGCTGCAGGCCTCTGTGCCGGTACCGGCGTGGACGAACCGAGTCCAGTCGATCCCTCTCAGCTTCACGTAGTCGTTACCCGCCAAGGCGGCGAAGGTTGGCAGGAGCTGGCGCCGGAGTCCGAAGAAGCTGCAGAAGCTGGAGGTGCAGTACCTCCTGCAGCAGATGGAGCTCTGAGAGCCGCTCTGCCTCACCTCCCGCCAGAGGAAGTGGCTGATGGGCAGAAACCCCGCCGGCAGGTCGAAGACGAAGAAGTCGCTGTCGTTGGACAGAACCGGGCAGCACCATTCTGATGCCAGCGCTGCTATCTCCTGGTCAGCTTCTGCAAAACACTGGGCCAGCGGAACCTGCAGCCGGGCCAGCGTCTGTATGAAGACCACCTGGGCCATTCGGGGGAGGATGTGCATCGTTGTACCGCTGACCGCTGCTTCATGAGCTTTCCGGATCCGGTCCTCGCGCCGCTTTGTTACCGTTTCCAACTTTTTGTCTGTGACATCAGAACCTCCATCCAGAACCACGTAGGGAGTGATGTCACAGGACCTGAGAGCTGCGATGAAAGTCTCAATCACAGTCCTGTAGGCGGCGTACTCCCCACCGTGGTTCTGATCCAGACCTGAAACGAACCACAGAACAGGGAGATTGGACCGCTGAGCGGTGATGGTTTCATTAAGAGGAGAGTGAAGCCATGTCTGCAGTGTGTGGTGGTGGCAGTGTTATGGTCTGGGCTGCTTTGGGTCAAAGTACACCAGAACATCCTGATCTGAACGGGTCAGGAAGAACTGAGCAATCGGCCGTGACCGCCAGGCCCTGCAGGGAACCGGGTTGTGTTCTGGTAGAAAGATGAAGCTGGTAGAAACCTCATCAGGATGTGACCAGATGAACGATGCTGATTAAAACTGGAGCCATTTTGTTCAAGAGCAAATGAAGGTTTTTTGGGCAGTTTGCCACCTTAAGATCATAAACACACAGCGTGTCAATGAAACGATTTATTTCTTGAAAAAATGTGTTTCTACCAGGATAATGTATTTAGTTCTTTTGAGACTTGTGTAAAATGATTGTATTTCAGTGTGTATGGTTGCCTGTGTTGCCCTGCGACAGACTGGCGACCTGTCCAGGTGACCCAGGTGACCCAGGTGACCCAGGTGACCCCGCCTCTCACCCCAAACGTTAGCTGGAGAGGCACCAGCACCTCCCGACCCACTAAGGGACGAGGGGGTAAGAAAATGGATGGATGATTGTATTTCATTTCGTCTCAAACTATTTTTATGAGATTTGAGTGAATGAACAGAGCGACATGCAGCAGCCTGGTGCCTCCTGTGGCTGTCAAGGTATTTTGTAGTAATAATATTTTGTGAATTTATCAGTTATGGTGTTCTAATTACTTTATATTTTAATTTAGAGTGGACAAGACAAAGATTAAAGACCTGCGAAGTGGCAGCCGGCCACCAGCTGACCTTTGTTAAATATATCTGTATCTAAAGTTTCGTCTTTTATTTCTATAGTTTTCACGGCGTTTAATAAAGGAAGCCGTGTGTCACTTATGATGTCTAGTTAATGTGTTACCATAGTTACTATGAAAAAGTAACTTCATTACTTGATGAAAAATCCATCAGCTGGAAAATGTTGATCAAGGAAAAAGAGGAAAGCAACAATAAATGTTAAA